TTTTTACTTAATTAATCATTAGATTAAATTCAATTTATAGGCTATGATTAAAGTAAGTTAAAAAAAATTAATATTGCAGTATGTCGATCCCTATATATATTAAAAAATTATATTGATGATCCAAATATTTTTATAATTTAGAAAAAAAGTTTGATTAATTAAAATATTTTTTATAAATAATGTCAAAACAAAATTAAATTTACATATCATAAAATACACCGATCCAAATATTTGTATATATGAAAAAACTATATTTATGATCCAAATATAACTAAAAAAAATTTCTTTAAAAATAACACACTTTCTTGGTTAAATTATTACAGAAAATAAATTATAATCAAATCATAACTTATATACTTTTTTTAAAACACAAAAATAAAATAATTATAACAAAACATGATCAAAATATTCACTATTGATTGTAATATATTTTTCATTTATAATTTAACACAATATTGAATAATTTAATAATTTAATAATTTATGTAATGCAACATTAAATATTAAAATAGTTGTCTTATTTGTGAAACATACTAAAATTAAACATTAAATATTAAAATAGTTTTCTTATTTGTGAAACATACTAAATTTAATCAATATATTTTTAAAATGTACTGTTCACATCGAATGCATAACTATCATTAAATACATTTTATTATGTATTAAAATTTATGAAAATGTTGATAAATTTAACATTTTATTCTAGAAATAAGTTAATTATCAATACTTAAAATTTTAAATTTATTTTTAAAAATGGTTAATTATTTAAAATTTTATTACTTAATTATGATCTTTATGGATATCTTGCGAAAGAGATATTCGTAATAATAATACTTACATAAAATAAAAAATGGTAAGAAAAAGTATATATCTACTAAAACAAAAAAAAGGAAGTTATTGATAATATTTTTAGGATTTGGTTTAAATTATGAACAGTTAGATTAGAAACATGAGAGATGTCAGGATATATAAAAAAAAGGAGAGGATCCAAATCCATATTTTTACTATATGAAAAAAATATTTTTTTACATGGAAAAATTTAAATACTTTATATTGAATTTATTTTTATATATGAAAAAGTGTATTGGTGATCCAAATGCTTTCATAAATGAGAACAAGTTTTTTATTCATCAAAATATTTGTATAAATAATGTTAAAACAAAAATTCATATTTACATACGACAAAATATATAGTTGATCCAAATATTTGTATGTATGAAAATACTATATTTATGATCCAAAAATAAATAAAAATTTGTTCTTTTATAAAAATTAATAAATTTTTTTAGATAAATAATTTTGTCTTTCTTGATATATTTGTTTTTCTGTCTATCCACTTTTATTACTTTTTAAAAACAAATGCCCATAACTCACTCGTATTTACACGGTCATCTAATTATGGTATAATTAATGAAAATAAAGATAAATATATTTAAAATAAAATATGAATTTAAAAATAGATAAAATGTATTTATTTATATAATTAAAATAATATTTACAAATACTATGTTATAATTTGATATTTATAAAACTAAATCATTATATAAATCTTTTTTATAAAAGATATCAACCGATACGCACTGACATTGATTCTATGTTTTATTTTAATATAAATTATATTTTTTATATTCATTCATTTTTATTAGTTGTATTTTTCAAAAAAAATTTTAAATATAATACGCGTCATCGATTATTATCCATAGGAAGGTACGAAAAGCAGTTATAAAATAGTAAGATGAAGGAAAAATCTCAAAAGCCCTCAAAAGAGTGTTACTGTCATCATCCATGTTATTTTATTCTTTAAAATGTAAAAATGATACGATGTGCCAAACCTAGTCGAAGTTTATCATCTCCCATGTTTGTTTAGAATATAGAAGAAAACAAAACATAGACAACATGCCTAGTCATCTTTATTTATGGTCAACCAAAAAGACAAGTAGTGGAGAATACAACAAAATCGATGATGAAAACTTTGAAACAAAGAATCAATGGAGTAAATAAAGATTTCCTTATTCATGTAATATGTTTGGATTTATCATAAGTGAAAAAAGAAAAAGCAGAAACTATAAACCACGTGATGAGTGCATCATTGCATTCATACTAGTAATAGTACTAGTGAGAAGATTCGAATTACGAAATTGAAGCCAAAGAGTGGATTGGTCCTTATCACTATGAAAATGTCGAATGTCATGTCGATGATAAGGTCATCCCTCTTAGTTTTGTCACAAGCTATTGGGTTAGTTGAAAATATTTAGTTTGAAGAAGTTTTACATTTATTAAGTTTTTTTTTATTTATAAAGAAATAGGAAGTTTAAGGCTAAATAAATGATCAAGTACTTTTTTTTTTAATAAGAGGAATCAGTTAAAAAGTAATTTAAATTTGTATTTGATATTTTTTTTTTCTGTAATTTATTTTATATTTTTGTGTAAGAGTGTTGTGAGAGGTGATTAAATATTTATTTTGAAGAGTGCGAGTGTATTGAAGTCTTGGAGTGATTGAGGATAATTTATGTATTGTAATAATTTTTATATAGTATTATTTTTAGTTGTTATTTGACAACGGTCGTGATTTTTTTTCTTCTTCTAATTTTAGAGTTCCAACGTTAAATTCTTTTATTGTTATTGTGTTCATTTTTTTTTTCTACACAATTGTTTTTTTTTCCCTATCAATTAACATCAGAGCCTTGATTTAGTTGAATATAATTTTTTTAGTATGCCTTGTGCTTGCAGTTTTGTTTGATCTTTCAAATCAGAAAATAAACTTTATATTATGTGTTGGTTGGGAAATGTTTTGTTGCAGGACAGGTTTTGCATGCAATGTCAAGTTTTTCAAATTCAGTGAAGATTGACTTAGAGAAATTTGATGGAAGAATCAATTTTGCTTTTTTGCTTTGTGGAAAATTCAAGCCCTACTACAAATAACACATCTAACATTGACCTCGAAATGTATTTAACCTCAGTTACACAGGCGAGGTAACGAAAGGCGACATGAAAATCAATCACTTATCACCTCGGTGTTTCTAAAATCGAGGTTAGAAATTAAAAGGTCGTGGGTTCGATCCTCAACATCAACATTTTTATTATTTTTAGAACTAGATGGCGCGCCCAATATTAACACTTGGTGTTTTGTATAAATGAGGTAATATCTCAATGTTATTACCTCGGTTTTATGTAAACGTTGAAGGGATAATTTTTTTTGTACTGTCGTTTGCACCTGTATTACATAATCATTTACAGAATCATATTCCTGAATATAGAACCATATTTTGCAGATTCCTGAGACACAAACATTGTACATTTTGTCAATTTTTCAATCTGAAATATTGTACCACAAATATGAAGGTGAGAAAAATACACAATAAGGGGAGGGAGGGTTGAATTGTGTTCATTGTTTTCCTTTGATTCTGAACAGAGTTCAGATTCTAAACCATGTTTAGATTCTGATTATAGGTTGCAACGGAACAATAAGATAAGCAAATAAATAACAACAGAACACACAAAGATTTATTCTGGTTCCTCCCAAATTGAGAGTAGTCCAGTCTCCTTTTAATACAATAGATTTTCCACTATAATCAAATCATGATTACAATTGCTTATGCCCTCGAGCATAAGACTTTTCTGCTCAGACATTCAACCCGAGACTTCCTGCTTAAACTTACCAGGTTCAATACTTTGTGCTTAAATCCCACAGATTCAAGATTTCCTACTTAGACCTTCAGTCTAAGACTTCCTGCTTAAACCCCTAAGGTTCAAGACTTCCTGCTTAAATTCCACGAATTCAAGACTTCCTGCTTAGATTCTAAGAATCTAAGACTTCCTTGCTTAAATGCCTCAAGTTCAAGACTTCTGCTCATACTCTTCGAGTATAATACTTTCCTACTCAGATTCCACGAATCCAAGACTTCTTCTTAGACCTTCAGTCCAAGACTTTTCTTGCTTAATCAACAAATGATCAAGACTTCAATGCTCAAGCACATAGCAAAACACTTACTTGGCTCAAGCTCACAGCAAGAGACTTTGAGACTCAAACACGTAGCAACAACCTTTCTTTCTAAACTACTAAATAAAATCTGTTTAGTAGAATAGATAACAAGGTGTACTTGATACAATTAGAGGTATAGGGAAATAACCATAATAAAGATCATACCACTTGATATTTCTAAGATATTCAATGTTTAAGAAATCTTAAGGCTTTGTACAATTTACAACAAATAACAGAAATTCTGCATACTCGATGGTGTTGCCATTATTGATCTTGTTATTCTTCCATTTTGATAGAAGCGTGAAACATTTTCTACATTGTGAAATGCAAAATAAGCCAAAATGAGAAGTAGATCTAAGAATTCCCAACCTACAAAGCAGAGATTTTCTTTGGTACTTGTTATAAACATAATTTAACAAATCAGACAAAGAAAATCAAAGATCTAATGAATTCCTAGAAAGAAAATTGAAGAGCAATCCAATAAGATGAACTTGCTTCAAAATCACTTCAAGAAACACTAGTGGAAAAAAGGCTTTTTAAGTCGGTTAAAAATGACTTTTTAAGTCGGGTCCGAGCCCGACCTAAGAATTACCGACATAAGAAGTTTTGACTTCTTAAGTCGGTTGTGGACCTGACTTAACAAACTATTATTAGGTCGGTTAGACAGAAACCGACTTAATAAGTCTAGCCTGCAGAAACCATTTATACCCGACCTAAGAACTTACTTTCTTAAATCAGGTATAATTAACCGACCTAAGAAGTTGTTTTTTTTTGTTGATAATCACACAAATTATATGTTGATGAAATTCTATCTTCACCCTCATACAAGGTGATAAATTCATTGTTCTATTAGTATATGTTGATGAAATTATACTAGATGGAATTAGACTGATATTTCATTAAATAGATATTGATTTACTACAAATAAGGTTAAGAAATAAAAATTCCTGAAAGTTTGCAGTATCTATATATATTTATACATCACTGGTTTTCATGGAAATGGTAACTACTACTTTATATTAATACAGAGAGTTGTAGGTGCAACAGGTATCAGCAATGGATGAGATACAAATGAGTAGTGCAGGGAGTAGAGTGGCATTCAGTAGCTTACTTTCGCTGAAATACCCAACGATTGTTATTGTACCGTCTGTAATAACTCGAGCTAGAGTTCCCGCTTCCGTTGACAGTAATCCTCCATTAAAGGTTCCACGAGAAGGCCGCAATGACATCATATTCGATAAAAGGGAAAGGTTATCTCCTGGATTGTTCATGCAAAAACCATAATATTAAGCCATGTTCATAGAGAAACCTTCAGGTTAATATGAGAATAATATATACCTTCAAGAACTTCGGCAGAGACAAAAGTGATAAGAGCCGATCCAACATATAGAGTTACTAAATAAGGGATTAATGTTTCGAAACTTAGGAGTAGTGCAATGCAAACCATGATTTCTGATGTTAGTAGAACTTGCCTGCAAATACAAGCCAACCAACAAGTAAAGATCTAATATGACTTTGTAATTAGGATAAAAAAGTGTGGCCTATTAACCCTTAGATAACGGCTTTTAAGCCGTTGTCTATTCTTCTGTTATCTAAAGTCAAAAAAATATTGTAATGATAATATAAATTTGAAGGTTTACCTTTCTTCAAAAATGTTGCTGATGTAGCTTCCGATAATAATATTCACAAGAAGGACAGTAAGACCAAGACATGCAAGAAAAACGGCGACTTTGGTTGTTGACCAAACAAAATAGTATTCTGTTACAAGGCTTGATTCAGCAAGCAATATCTCCATTACATACTTGAGCATAAAATACACAAACAATTGAACCTAGTAAAAGTATTCATAGTTAGTGCAAAAGATTGAATCAGACTTCAAATAATTGAAGAAAGTTAAGAAAGCAAGAAGAATTATAACAGGTTCCTTACCTTTACTGATGGTGTAAGCAACTTATACACCAGCGCAATAGAAGTAACAGGTTTTTGAGATTCAGTTTTATCATAAGCTTCTTCGTCGTCGTCGTCTTTTTCTTCATCTATATCTACATCTTTCTCTTTTGCTTCTGAATTCGTTAGTATTGGCTGTGTAGGACTATTCTCTACTGTAATATGCAATGTTTGTTCTCCTATATGCGTTTAGAGAACCGTAAATAAAAGTAATACTGTATAAAAAAATGAATACGAAGAACCTAGGTGACATAGACATACCAGTTTCTGATTCATAAGCCCAAAGATTTTCTGGTTCCTTAAAACAAGTGCACAACCAAAGTAGATAAACGAGCCACGCAACAGCCATTACCCATCCAGGTAGTGTGTCTTGGTTCATTGTCAACTTGTAAATCCTAAACTCAGTCTGTAACAAATAAGCAATAGTTGGACCACAAGCCATTACAAGAGCACTTGCACTAACAAAAGCTGCTGATGCTTGCAGCCTAAGCTTCACCGGTACACAGTCGCTGATATAACGCATATTCACAGCCCTTGTAGAGCCTAGCCCACAGAAAAGTCATCCCATAAGAGAACTGCTACTGAGTTAAGATCATAGGCCAATGCATACATGACGTTTCCAATTAGAAGAACAATGGTACTGAATATAAGAGGTTTTAGATATTATCGGTTTGACCACGCGCTGAAATAAATTGAAGAAAACACCTGTGCAACGGCCATTGAACCGATGACGACGCCACAAACACTTGCAGCAGCTCCGAGGCTCAAAGAGTAGTTGTCGGCCGTAGGTACAACGATGTAAGTATTGACCATGTACAAAAATGTGCTTTCCAAGTTCAAAAGAAGCGACATAAAATGATATCTTTCGTCAATAGTGTTTTCTTCGGGCGGAGATGGTGATAGTTCCTCTTGCTGCATGATAAAAGCATGTCTTCCAAAAAACTTAAGGAAACTTGTTGAGTTGGATAATTTATCTGTTGCTGCTTTGATACATACAAGAATTGGATCCTTCAAGAAAAATTCAAAAGGAAAATCTCATCAAGTGTTTGAAGAATACCAATTACCAACCATAACAGTATAATGTAAACAATGGATCAAGAACTAACTTGATGAGCATAAGAAGGTTGGTCGTATATAGAAATGTAGCTTCCTTGACACTTTAGTAAGTCATGAATGTCTGCAAGATTGTGAGATGGATTAAATAAAACACAGATTCTCAAATTTTCCACGGTTAAATTGAGCTAAACATGGTAGCATGTGGTAGCTTTGCCCTTCTCCAATATTCTTCAGAAGGAGAACCACATAGCTTAAATATCTTATGCAGATGTTCCACCTATGAAGCATGAAAACATATTATATCATAAACTATAGTATGAAATTGCTTGCTTTCTGTATCACCCGATCTCAATCCAATGGTCACTGATGTGCTAATTATTGTGACTGCAGCAAATTCAAATTAGTGTTAGAGATTACCTCGGTTCGACCAGGAATAATAGGCCTTCCAGCCAACAATTCAGCAAGGATACAACCAGCACTCCACAGGTCCACGCCTACATCATAATCGGTGGCTCCAAGAAGAAGTTCAGGAGATCGAAAATCTGAAACTACAAATCTGAAAAACTCTCGCAGTGGTGCTTCTCTCCTTCATTCATTATTAAATATTCATTGGAGAATGAATAAATGTAGTTATATACACGGTGTAGTACTGCAACATATAATTGGCTTGAGATATGAAATTTTGCAACAGTCCATAAGGATATTTATATACAGAAGTGAAGAAATTTGGTAAAGAGAAATCGAACAATACGGAAAAAGAATAGCTTACTCAACAGTAGAGAGAAGAAGACAATAAGGATCCAACCACACGAGTAAATTACTAAAAGCTTGCAGCTAGGAGGATACACCGGAAATAAGCAAATAGCCAATGTTAACACTGGCCAGAAAAAAGATAAGAGTGTCTGCCAAAGTGGATGGCGTTTTACAAATGCCCATGCATAAAATGTGTCATTTTCGGAAAACACTTGTTCCTGACAAAGATAACCAGACTGTGTTAGATTTAAACACAGAAAAACCCAATCGCTTAAACTATAACCTATGATATTAGACCATGCAACTGGGAAAATTGCTTACAGGGAAAATTTCCAAATGTGCAGGCCATGTAGACAGCTTTTTCTTCCCAGGACGGAGAGTTTTTACAACACGATCACAGCGCACTAAAAGATTCTTTTCAAGTAAAATGTTGGCAATGTCCTCTGTTTCTAAATTCCTATCTGATTCCAGAATGCCTTTGACCTCTGGATGATTTTTCAAGAAGTTCACAAAATCCTTCCCTCTGAAATACTCAACCCGTGTCTCTTGTAGAACAGCCCATCTAGAAACCAGCTCCTTATGGTCTCTCACCTTCTCAGCAAAAACCTGATACACATCCTTCTTCACAGCTTGTTTTTGTAAACAAAAACATCACAACAACAACAACACAGTCAAAATATAACACAAACAACTTTTGCATGTCACATAAAAACTGAACCTGTCATACACAAAACTTATCTGATTCAATAATAAGCACATAGATTCAACGACATTTTCATAATTTAAATTCGAGATTCAAACACTTACCAATAATTCCTGAGGATCTAGGTCCAGAATCCGGAGTTGCAGGCGGTGATTCAGCTTTTTCTGGCGTATTGAACCCGAGATCTACACCATTACAATCACCTCCTAAGCCACCTACTCGAAAACTCATCATTAGGAATCAAATTCGGTATTCTGAGTTTACAACACTCACACACACGTCGATGGTCATTAAGAATAATCCGCTTATTCTGAAATTATAGTATATAAGAAGTTAGCAAAATAGAAGAATATAGCAGTAGATAACACTAACAGTGGAGTCGCCGTTGGATACAAACGACTTCATCTTCGAAGCGGAATCCTCAGAGTCTGGAAACAGAAAGGGGGTGCCATGTTCAACCACAACTGCAACGTATCTCATAAAAAGCAACCTATTGAAACCAATTTCAATTCAATGAGAAAAAGAACGAAATCAGTTAGCAGAGGAATGAAATTGGAAGCACAAACCTGAGAAGGTTGTGTCAATCTCGAGCGAAAGCCAAGCAGGAACTGACCTCGGCCTGTAACAATTCGGCAGGGGGAAGAAATGAATCAGCGGGAGGAATAGTGGATGTGTAGCCGGCGGAGGAGATGTGTGCGGGAAACCTATATTACATTTTCCATTGACTATCAATTTAGGGTTTATGATTATAGTTGTGGTGAGGTTATCTGTTGGATTTCTCATATAACATAAATTATACTATAATTGTTTTATTTTACTAAAATGTATTAAGTAGGAATCGAATCGAAGTCTTGTAAGACCCTCTTAGGTCAGGTAATAAACACCTGACTTAATAAATAAATTTCTTAAGTCAGTTCAGTAAAAGAACCGACTTAAGAAATTTAATGAAAATTATATTTTTTTTATTTAATCTTTGTAGGTCGGTTAAACATATACCCGACATAACAAAGTTTCAAATATTTACGGATTTGCCACCGTGTGGTTTCTTAAGTCGGGTTATTGATGAACTGACTTAAAAACCTCTACTAAAAAGGTATTTTTCCACTAGTGAAAGTGTTTCCAAATTTCAGATCTAGATCCAAATAAGCTTCAATTTCAAAATTGAACAATGGAAGATGATGTAATGGAGGTTTAGCTCAAGAATTCACAAATCGCAATGTACAATTTGTGAAGCTTTTGGTTATGGAGCTTTGGTGAGGGTTTTGGAATGAGAGAAAAAGTGAGAGAGAATTGAGAGACTGAGAGCGTGAAGTGTATAAAAATTAGAAAAATGAAGTGTCTTCCCTCTTGGAAGGGAGCCAATTGGTTTAAATATGGTTTAGGTATGGAATGAAAGTGAGGTTTGAAGTGTGCGTTTGAATTTGAAATGAGTTTTGGTTTGGAACTAAGAATGGAAAACCATTTGAACTTTGGAGGGAAAGTTAAGTTAATTTGGAAATGAACGGATATTTGAAAGCATTCTAGATCCTTCTACTGATATAACATTGGTCCCAAGTGAATGTAGTGCATTGCAAGCTGATGTAGTGCTGAAAAATGAGTGTTCTGGGCAAAACTGACATTGTGCAATCGATTGCACTGCAGTGCAAATCGATTTTCACTATTCCAAAAGGCAAAGTGAGGCATCCTGAAGGGGTGCAATCGATTGCAACAGTTATGCAAATCGATTTCACCAAGTCAAAAGTGCAAAAAATGGCATCGTTGCAACTTGTTTTGTGCCTAGCTTCGCGTCAAAACCTTAGCCAATGATAATACCCTCGAATGATGCCTGAAACATGATAGAGAACATGTCTAGAACAAGATCAAATGAACCCTGCTTTATGCTATTGATTCTGAAATAATCAAACCATCTGCTAAGCAAAATAAATGCTTGATACCTCTGATGACCGACTGTTTAGCTCTGAATGCTACTGAAATAACCTTTGAAATGAAGAAAGCTCTAAACAGCAAGAGATACCATGTGATCCCATGTTCTAGAATTCCAATGCAATTCATGATGAATGCGTATGGAATGCAGATATAATCCAGTTAAGGTTAGAAAAAGTGAGGGCAAATTTTGGGGTGCAACGGCTCCCCATATTCAATCAGATTAAACTTGAAGGTATGAAAGACAACGATGTTCAGACATTCAAGGTAGAAGTGGATTGAATACAAAAGAACCGTAAAATTTGCACTCTGCAAAGGGAGAGACGACTCCGCTGGGGAATAAGTAATAAAAGGCATAAAAACAAGAAATGAATACGAACGGGTGTCAGAAATCAATGCGAACGAAGTATTGAAGCAGAATGAAACAAACACAGACGAGTGTTGGAAACAAAACGAGGTGAACACCTACGATTTTCTGAAATCAACACGGATGAGTATTGAGAAAATGAAATAACACAGACGAGTGCTGAAGAGCACGACGAGTGTCTAAGATCAATACAGACGAGTATTGATGAAACTGAAACAAACACGAGCTAGTGTTTAAGATCAATATGGACGAGTATTGATGAAACAAAAAAAAATAATGACGAGTGTTGAAGAAGACGTCGAGTGTCTAAGATCAATACAGACGAGTATTGATGAAACTGAAACAAAACACGGACGAGTGTTGAAGAGCAAGACGAGTGTCTAAGATTAATATGGAAGAGTATTTATGAAACTGAAACAAAACACAGACGAGTGTTAAAGAGCACGGAGAGTATCTAAGATCAATACAAACGAGTGTTGATGAATCTGAAATAAAACGCGGACGAGTGTTGAAGAGCACGACGAGTGTCTAAGATCAATATAGACAAGTATTGATGAAACTGAAACAAAACACAGAGGGGTGTTGAAGAGAACGACGACTGTCTAAGATCAATACGGACGAGTATTGATGAAACTGGAACAAAACACGGACGAGTGTTGAAGAGTATGATGAGTGTCTATCGAAGCTTGGGATCATAAAAAGATCGAGATTAACGTATCTG